ACTAATTCCAATGTGTGGTTCCTCCCACCACCTCTTCAGATGCCAATTGCAAGTCCCAGGTTGTTACCTGTGCATCTGACAAGCTGGATGTAGGTGGATGTTCCAAAGACCCCCTCCTTGAGTTCAATTAATTTGCTAGAGTGGCTCACAGAACTCAGAGAAACATTTTACTTACTAGATTACCACGTTATTATAAAAAGGATATAGCTCAGAAACCGAAGGAAGAGATGCATAAGGCAAAGTATGGGGAAAGGGCAGGGAGCTTCCATGTCCTCTCCAAACGTGTCACTTCTCTCATCTCCACATGTTCACCAACCAGGAAGCTCTCCGAACTCTCTGCTTTAGTTTTTTATGGAGGCTTCATTACACAGGCATGAATGGTTAAAGCTTGGCTAACTTAAACTCAATCTCCAGCTCCTCTCCCCTTCCTGGAGGTTGGGGGTGGGATGGGATGGATGGAGGAGGGGGTGGGACTGAAAGTTCCAACCTCTAATCACATGGTGGTTTCCTGGCAATCCTTAGGTGACCTTGGGACTTCCCAAAATTCACCTCATTATCATAACAAGAGACACCTTCCAGGCTCTCATCACTTGGGAAATTCAAAGGATTGTAGGAGCTCTGTGCCATGAAGGGGGACCAAAACCAAATATATATTTCTTATTATCAATCACAATATCACACCCTTCAGGAAGACTAACACAATAATTCATTTAAAACATTGAGAATTGAGAAGTTAGCCATTATTTGATCTGGCTTCTCACTCACTATAATGGACTTTCTTTGATATTCAAGACATCTGATGAATGAATCTTACTTAGATTAAGCTCACCTCTGTCTTTCTGAATCGTTCGCCAACTAGTTCTTGTTCACTGAAAGAGTAATTCAGCTTATTCCATGACTGCCTTTCAAGTTCGATTAAATAAAACCCAAGTTTTAATCCTAGCTCCTCATCTTTGACCTTAGATGTCACCTATCACTTTCACTCTCAATTTCTTCATCTGCAAAATGGCAAGTCCTGCTTTGCTCATGTCATAGGGTTGTTGAGAAAGGGCAAAACCAGAAACCATTTATTAAATATTTACTGTGTTCCAGGTGCTGTGATGAGAACTTTATACACACTGAGTTATTAATACTCCCATCCCTATGAGACTGGTGGTATTTTCACATGGGAGACAGTTGAGGCTGGGTAGGTAGTAGGTAGTAAGGTGGTAATAAAACCAGGATTTGAACGCAGGTCTGGTAGCAAACCCTTGGGCTTAACCATTTTACTCTTTGGTCTGCTATGGACTGGTATTTAAGAAGGCACTAAGTAAATTTCAATTATTCAAATATTTAAAATGGTTTCCTTTAGACCAGTGGTTCTCAACCTGTGGGTCGCGACCCCTTTGGCGGTCGAACGACCCTTTCACAGGGGTCGCCTAAGACCGTCCTGCATATCAGATATTTACATTACGATTCATAACAGTAGCAACATTACAGTTATGAAGTAGCAACGAAAATAATTTTATGGTTGGGTCACAACATGAGAAACTGTATTTAAAGGGCCAGAAGGTTGAGAACCACTGCTTTAGACTGTTTTTCTTCAGGTGAAACATTTTGGTTTTTCTCAATTATTTTTTGGTGAGTTATTATTTCCCTACCCAATATCATTAGACTCATTGTCCTCATGGAGAGACATGTTTTTCATGTCCCACTTAAAATGTAGTAACCAGAACAGAAGTCATGTCCTCAGGTGACTAGAGCTGGAGAAACCCATATTCCATAATGTTTCCCGGCTCATTCCACCAGTTTCTGAATCCAGATAAGCTAAAGCTTTGTTATTCTCTCACCCAGTTGGCTTCAAGGGCCAAACATGCTAGAACGTGTGTTTGAGTCGAATGAGTCAGTGTAGAATCTGAGTTCAATATCTTCAGAAATGTTCACAAAAAGGACATTGAAGCAGGGGTGTGGTTACAGAACCTCCAACCCCTTCACTTACAGGGAAACGCTACCGTAACCTAACTGTACTTTAGGGCCTCTGTAGCCTAAGGGAGAAACTTGTTGGTGTTTAGTGGCTTGTAGGGAGATAGTCTCTTCCTGACAAAGTTGACTGTAAAATAAAATTTCTGAATTCTAAAGAGCACAAATGGAGCTAGAATGAGCCCAGTGAGCCCCATCAAAGCTAATAGGCCCCTGAGCTACAAATAATGAGCAGATTAACAAAAAACACAAGACTTATTTTTTCAGACGTTAGAGCTTTTTTAGTTCTAAATGAACAGGGTTTTGCTAATTTTATTACCTTTTACTGCCATGTTTTTCTATTTTTGGCCAAAACAAAATGAAAAGATATTTTCTATTTCGTATAAGAATGGTTTTCCCCAGTAACACTTGTGAGAAAAAAACATGTGTTATAGCCACTTAATATATTTGTACGTTAAAATGCCACTCAAAACAGTTTGTTGTAGGTGACATATGAATAGAGGGGCTAAAAATGGTGAGTTTTATTGATGGAACTGGTTGAATGCTAAAGCAAAGGTAGCTCCTTTTTGAATAAGACCTTAGTTTAGCAGGTGCCTTTCCTGAGAGATCTCTCTTGACGTCTGTATCTAAAGTAACATCCCTATCACGGTCATGCCATTCAGATTCATTTTCTTCATCTTTCCTTCAGAATTTCATTATTTATATTTGCTTATTGTCTATCTCTCATCCACTGGAATGCAAATTCCAGAACTTGTCTTGTTATCCCATGTGCAGAGAACACTGCCCCTGATAGTCATGGTGTTGACCGAATGAGTCCATTTTTGAAAGCATAAAAAATTATTAACCACTTACTCTAGGCTAGCCCACCAGTTTATGTTCTTTAGATTTTGTTTTTGCTGCTCATAAGTCAGTCAATGTTTATTATATATCTTTTCTCCTTTTCACTGTAGATTTATTTATTTGTGGGTGTAATTCCAGTCATTCTGATTTTCTGTATTGTAGTGGAGAGCCTTTAGTAGACACTTAATAGAGCAGTGTTTGGTGTGAGGTGTAGTATAACTAGATTTTCCTAATGAAACAATAGAGTTTAAGGATTTTTAAATAAATAAATTTGAGTGGATTATTTTCCCCTTTAAACATTATTTTAAAATATTTTTATTAATTTCAGAGAAGATGGGAGAGGGAGAGATAGAAACATCAATGATGAGAGAGAATCATTGATTGGCTGCCTCCTGCATGCCCCCTACTGGGGATAGAGCCCGCAGCCCAGGCATTTGCCCAGAGCCGTGACCTCCTGGTTCATAGGTTGATGCTCAACCACTGAGCCACACCAGCCAGGCTAGAAAAGTATTTAACTAACTTCTTTTCTTGAGTGTGAGAGAAAGGGGTGGGCTTCCGGGATATGTTCCTAACTTTGGGTACCCAAAAGCAAATATGTTGAGAGGAAAAACTGAAATCCATTGCTCTGGAGACAACTTTTGTATTTGCTACCTGGGCTAAGAGGAGTTAGATTAAGAGGAATGAGAGTGTGTTCTAGTCCTTGTTTCAGCTGAAGACAAAGTGTCGACTGTACAGTAGGACTCCATTGGATGCCTGTTAACTAGGTTAGATTGAAGCATGTGGTTATACTAGTATCTGATGGATGGTGGGAAACTCAGTGCTAGGTACCCTGAGGGACCTTAGTAAATATGGGTTTATCTTAATAATAATGCTGGGCCTCCAACAGTACTTAATGGTTTCATTTTCTAATCTGTAAGGGGAGATCAGGAAAAACCCTCCTGAAACTGGGAGGGTCTGGCCCAAAGTGTTTATAAAAATCATTTCATATCTTACGTTTTGGGGAATAGAAACCAAAGGGGAACAGTGTATTTCCTTATGCCCTGGGAGTTTCGTGTCCTTATGTTTTGACCTTGACATGATCATGGAATATGGTGTGTTTTTTGTTTTTTGGTGCTGAATAATAGCTTTCTTTTTTTTCTTTTTTAAAATCTTTATTGTTGACAGTATTACATAAATAATATTTTTAAAATTTATTTTAATTTTTATTGAATTTATTGGATGACATTGGTTAATAAAATTATATAGGTTTCAAGTATAAAATTCTATAATACATCATCTGTAGTTATATATATACTAGAGGCCCATTGAACGAAAATTCGTGCACTTGGCGGGGGAGGGGGGAGCAGTCCCTCAGCCCGGCCTGTGCCCTTTTGCAGTCTGGGACCCCTTGGGGGATGTCCACCTGCTGGCTTAGGCCTGCTCCCTGGGGGATCTGGCCTAACCTGGCAGTCAGACATCCCTCTGGCAGCCCAGGAGCCCTTGGGGGATGTCTGACTAACAGCTTAGGACAACTGGGGAGCAGGCCTAAGATGTTAGTTGGACATCCTTAGATGGACATTCTTAGCGCTGCTGCTGTATTGAGTGTCTGCCCCCTGGTGGTCACTGTGTGTCATAGCGACCAGTCGTTCCACCATTAGGGTCAATTTGCATATTACTCTTTTATTATATAGGATATAATATATAATTTTAATTTTTTTATTTTGCGAGTACGCTTATTAAAGCTGGGGACAGTGAAACAAAGGAAGGGCTTAGGGTAGAAGAAGCTATGGGAGACCTAGGTGAGGCTGCTTTGGCTCTCTAGAAACGTTATAGGAAAGAAGTGATCCAAGGTGGGTCTGCTGTCACCTCACTGGAGAATAAGAGAAAAAAGCAATATGTTTTCTTTAAAGGAAAATTTTATAGAAAAACCATGTTCATATTAAAAAATTTTAAGGTTGATTTGGTATTTATATATTTCTATTTTTTTCTTTTCACATTGCACAAGAAATAGGTTCTGGCTATGAAATCCAAACTATCCCTGGGACAATCAGCTTCACCGAGTCATTTGTCATGACAAATGGCTTATCAATCACAGTTAAAACAGTCCAGGATTTGGTTAAGACATTTTTTTTGTTCTTGTGGAAGATTTACTTCTTAAGGTAAGTCCAGAATATCTAACATATTGAGGTGTAAATACTTAGACAGAAAGTGTACTTACATTTAGGAGACCATATATTTGCCTATGGGCTCAATAAAAGATTTAAAAATATTTTCTTTTATAGTCACACATTTTATTACAAATTTCTTTATTTTGTACCCAATAGAAAAGCAAGTTTGGAATCTATTTACAAGTACTATACACTTACATATATTATATACAGTTAATGAATTTAAAGAAAATGGGCAGAGAAACAATATATATGGAAGAATATGCCACTGTACATGGTTTATTATCATGGTCCTTTGTATTACTGAATCTTTACCGTAGTAATAAATACAGTTCTATATTTACACATATTATAAAACATCTCATAAATGTATTTCTTTCACTTCCAAGTTAAAACATCTGATCAAAATAAACATGCTTATATAAAAATAAATCTACCTAACAGTCTTTTGGTTTGAATGTATTGAAGCTAATGTAGTATAATAAAGTTACAAATTAATCCTTTGACCTTTAGTATTTAATAATCTTGCCTCTTAAAATACCTAACACATGTATTAAATATGGAATAAGCAGAGAAGTCATGTTCCTGACATCAAATGAGTTGATCCAAAGACAACACAGCTAAAACCAAGCTAAATAAACAGGATAATATGTTACCAAGTCTCTGTTGAGTCCAAAGTGATTTCAGACATTGTTGCTAGAGCTACTGGAGATGCATGTGTGAGAAGTTAGGTTGGTGGATTTAACTTATGTCATGTCTGCATTTGATCATTACCTTAAGACACACATCAGTTTGAATCAACTGATAAAACCTCTTTCGAAAAATGTGTGCTCGCCCAGGAGAAAGAAAAAAGAAACCCCAGGCTGCTTACCATATTCACTAGGTATGTCCATTGCCGGCAACGGACTTTTCTTCTGAGTTTTGGGCACCAAGGAGTTAAAATGAATTCAACAAGGCATTCCTCACCTGGAGAGGGTTGCCTTCATGGCAATTTAAGAATTTTAGTTCATCTTCCTCTCAAAATACTTGTAAGCAGTTTTATTCCACTGAGGATGGAACCATCTAGTGCTGATAGATAAAATCCGGCATTTCTAAAAATGATGTGAATGTGAGCAAATGAATAATGCCTTATATTATCCATTCACTGGGTTGGGGGGAAATGGGTGACATGGAAGGATCCTTTTTGAGGAAAGGCAAAGGAGGACTAAAACATCTCCACGTGGTCGTTCAAATGAAATCCTGTTGGTTACAACTTTACTTGGTACCATAGGCCACTTAAAACCCTTATTTTCCTAATACTCCCAACCATCTTTTCATCTTTTGAGAAGTTGGGGGGTTGAAAACCTTTTTTTGTGAGTAAGGGTCTCCCCCCCCCTACCCCTTAGAGTGGTGATTTTAAAAAGAATTCAATTGAAATAATGGAGAATCTCTTTTGAATATTTCCATCTGCTTTAAAAAAAATATGGGCTTCCCTAAATAGTGTGACTGACCTATCTCTTTGCTGAACAAATTATACAAGCAGCATTTAGACTTATTTTTTCACTCCAGTCTCAATAGATTTCCACCTTTTTTTCCACTGAGATACATATATATATATTTTAAAACAAGTTTCAAACTCTGTTTAGTTACTGCTCAGATATACCCGACCTCACATTTTGGGGTTTTCAATTTTTGGAAACTTTTTCTCTCGCATTTCATTAGAGACATGGGACAAATGCCACAGATGACAGATGACAGCTTTCGGTCACCGGGTAAGTGGATGGCGACCCCGCGTTGGAAGGCAGGTCGTAGGCGATGCTGGCGCTGGTGAACGTCACCAAGGCTTGGGTCGAGTCGCAGGACTGCTTCTCAACATCGTCAGAGTTGATGGACATCAGGCTCGAGTGCTTGGACCTCGTCCAGAAGTGGGCTTGCTTCCCCAGGCTCCCCAGATCCTCCTTGAAATGGGGGTTGAAGAGGATGTAGAGAAGGGGGTTGAGGCAGGCAGGCAGCGGGCCAATCACCAGGAGGATGAACTTGATGACCTCGGGACCGATGAAGGTGAGGTTCAGCAGGGAGGAAAAGGACAGGAAGGCCACGGGGCAGTAAAGGATACAGTTGGTGAAGAGCAGCAGGGCGATGTGCTTCACCATAGAGCAGTCCCAGATGTTCTCCAGGTCTCCCTTCTCCAGGTTGCAGTAGAGCTTGGTGTAGGCGACGGTCATCACGAGGAAGCAAAGGGAGTTGAGCAGGACCAGCGCGACCATGTAGCCTGTGGTGCTGGGCTCCCCGAAGGGCAGCGGCAGGCAGAGCGGGGAGGCGCTGTACTCGCTGCCGCCCAGCAGGGGCACCGTGGCGATGGTCAGCGCCAGCACCGCGCACAGCAGGATGATGGCTTTCAGGCTGGAAAAAGCTTTCGGCTCGAATTTGGCAGAGCATTTCACCGAGAACCCACGCTCCAGGGCTGCCAGAGTCAGCAGGAACACGGACGACTCCGAAGCGAAAATGGACAAGAACCCGACCACCTGGCAACCCACCCCCTGCTCCCACCACGCGCCGTGCCGCGCGAAGCTGCCGAAGGTGACCGCGTCCACGCCGGCCAGCACGGCGCTGGCGACGCCCATGAGCATGTTCACCGCCGCTATCAACCCGATGAGCAGTTTTATGGAGGAAATGTACAGCGGGGCTCGGAACACCGTGGACGTCACCAAGGCGTTGCACGTGAGGGCCAGCACCGCGATGGTCCACACTCCAATTCTGATCAGCCAGCTCCCGAACAGGTACTCACAGAGTTTGAAGGGGCCTGCAAGTCCAAGGAAGGAAAAGACTGGGTATCAAACGACAGCTTGCAACTTTTGCCAAATGACCTCTTTGTTTCTCTTATTAGGACACCAAAGAGAGTGGCCAGTAGCAGCCACAGTAACACAGTTTCCTTGTGGCACGTTCTTCAACCACTGCCATTACCGCCTTCCGCGGCACCCAGGGCGTCAGCACACCAAGTGCTCATGTTTTCAAGCTACACACAGACACGCGGATGGGGAATTGAAATCACTTTCACTAAGGTCCCCCGAATACGGCAGTGTTGGGCCAGGTAAAAAGCCAGGTCTCCTGGGCTTTTCATTATGGTCTCCCCCCACGCCCCCCCACCGTCCAGCCCCCCCTTCCAGAATGCTTCAAGAAGATTCTGTAAGCAGAGAGGGGAATCCGGGGGAAATACTCCATAATATTAGAAGAGGAAGTATGAATAATACGAAGGCATGTTTCTTGAACATCTTGTCTTGGGTTTAGAACGGCATTTGATGTTTGAGAGCAAGGGACATTCTAATTGGTGAAAATAAAATGTTAACCTTCCCAGCTGTCTTTTTTCCAACTGGTCCATCCTGTTTCTGGGAATGGGACCATTTATGAAGTCCACATATACAGATATTTTTTACTTGTATGTATAAGCCATTATTTGTTTTAACCAAATAGCTACTTAGGGAAGGCTTAAAAGAAACCCCTTTAAAAAAAATCAGTGATTACAAGAAGCAAGACGGTCGCATACTAGTTTATGCTGAATTGATAATATCATGTTAAAAGTTACATGTGCTTCTCGCTACAGTTTCCATTAACCTGAATCAGAAGTCTCCCTCAAAAATCTTGTTTATGAATGGAGACCAACTCCAATCCATGGGGAGGGACACTGAGAAGGTGCAAAGGTGGCACAGATCTTGCTTTGAAGTGTAGCCGGCCTCAGAGTCAACAGTGGGGATTGCTGCTGAGGGAGGCCATTCTGGCCTCTTTCTCACCTGGGGAAGGTGAGCATTGCACCGAATGGAGGGCTTTCAGGTCTTCCTCAAAGTCAAGCAGCAAATCTTCAAGATCACGCTCATCTGCAGGAATGAGAAGTCCTGGAGTGATTAGTCCTATCTCTCTTTCCAGGGGACCAAATACCAGGGAGGAGGCTCCTGGATTGCCCTTGAACATGACGTGTCACAAAGGAGACGGGAGGTCAGACATCCTGCTCTTTTCTGGGCTCTGGCTTTCTTAAGAGTCAACGATAAAGCTGCCTGTGGATGTTCTACTCAAGCTGCTATGTGATACAGTCTTCCAGCAAAACTGGGGGGAGGGGAAATAACCTCAGGCTCCTGGTCATAACATCTAAGCTCTCTCATTTTGTTCTTGTTCCTGGAGCTCGTGATGTCCCCAAATTGCACAGACCTAAATTAGAGAGATATTTTTTATTTATATGTATAAACTATTATTTGTTTTAACCAAATAGCTTTCATAAAATTGGACCTTTCCAGTGGAAGAACCACTTTATCCAATTTTCTAACAGATAGCTGTAGTGCAAATGTTCTGGGCTGTGTTCTCTGATGGTGCTTGGTTTAGGTAGCCATGACACAGGAATTCTGTGATCTAACACACTTTCCCAAAGATGCCGATTTCATTGATCTGACGAGGGCGGGCATGAGTGTTTTTAAAAAGCCTCCATGTGATTCCTGGCCCAGGGTTGAGAATCACTTCTTTGAAAATAAACTCCATGAAGAACCTTGTGCCTCTTGCTCATTGTGTACATCTAGGGCCTAGAACACGGCCTGGCACATAGTAGGCACTCTAATTGTTTTACTTTGGTTTTTTTTAAGAGCAAAAACTAAAGCAAGGACAAGTGCAAGATACATACTGTGGCCCAGGGGTCCTCAAACTTTTTAAACAGGGGGCCAGTTCACTGTCCCTCAGACCGTTGGAGGGCCGGACTATAGTTTAAAAAAAAACTATGAACAAATTCCTATGCACACAATGGCGGCAAAAACACCCGGGCAGGGCCGGATAAATGTTTTCAGCGGGCCGCATGTGGCCCGCAGGCCGTAGTTTGAGGAGCCCTGCTGTGGACTAAAACAAAAAGGCGGAGGGGCAAGATATCAGCTCCTTAAACCGATGTGCAGGAGGAAATGGGAGGGTTGTCTGCAGACAGACTGAATCATACTTGCGTGGAATCAACAAATCATTCAGGCCCAGAGGAAGAAAAGCCAGTCTGTTTAGAATCTGCGCAAACATGCAAAGTTGGCAGGGGAAGGAAAACTGGGGCTGCCCAGAGCGCCTCCTCATTACCACAGGTGTGGTTTGAGGTGCATTGTTGCCTCTTTAAGTAAGGTCTTCAAGGAAAGCCAAGTGCTTCACAGACATGATCTCATTTCACCTTCCTGACAGATACCCCTGTGGGGGGAGCAGGGGAGAATGTTTTGGAATTAGTTAGATAAGAGGTTGGGTTCTTAAGCCCTTCCTGCCGAAATATGGAGGCATCTAAAATGCCCATATCCTCCACGTAAGAATGAAAACAGATTCTATCTTCTAGAGAAAAGAGCCCAGAAGCATGTTTGAGAAACATATCCACAAAGATGAAGCCCTTTTAAAAGCTTATGGAAATATCAATATGAATATTAATAATTACCCCATATTTATACAATATATGCTAAGGAAGATATAATAAACATAAGAATTAAAAATTCACGTACAGCCCTAGCTGGTTTGGCTCACTGGATAGAGCGTCAGCCTGGGGACTAAAGGGTCCCAGGTTCGATTCTGGTCAAGGGCATGTACCTTGGTTGCAGGCACATCCCCAGTAGGGGGTGTGCAGGAGGCAGCTGATCGATGCTTCTCTCTCATCAATGTTTCTAACTCTCTATCCCTCTCCCTTCCTCTCTGTAAAAAATCAATAAAATATATTTTAAAAAAAAATTCACGTACAGAAAAGATGAAGTTTTAGAATGAATGCCCAAGGAACTTTCTCTTTCTCTGGGAGTCTCTAAAAGTGGGATGGACTCCCAACTTGCTGGGGTGGTTACATAGGGAAGTGTCTGGAGTTTAGACAATCCGTCTGATGACTTTTTAAGACCCTTCCAGACACAATTTCATCACAGGAACAGCTGGTCTTACCTTGAACTTGAAACATTCCAGCATCTTTCTTATGAAGATCATCTGTACTGCTGTTGTCACCTTTATTCCATTGATTAGAAATTTTATAAACATTTTCACACACTCCAAATGCACAGCACTGGTAAGCATAAGGCATTTCTATAACCCTGAATAAAACCAAAGAAAAAACATACACTTATAGAAGTGAATTGTAAAATAGTGTTCGTCTTCTTTCACTCAATAACTCTGATTTTGGGTTTTAGCCTTAATAAATAATCTAAAATATTAACTATGTGCACAGAGGTTTTATTACAGTGTTATTTATAATAACAATGGAGTTATTAAAATTATTACTATGAAGTGTTAATAATTGCAGAGGTTGAGTGACAGGTATATTATTTTCTCTATTTTTGTGTTTAAAAACTTCCATAATAAAAAGGTTAAAAAATGACTGCTAGGAAAATTGTAGCACCATTAAAAGGTGCTTATGGGCCTGACCATGGTGGCTCAGTGGTTGAGTGTCAGTTTGATTCCTGGTCAGGGTTTATCTCCTGGTTGTGGGCTCAATCCCCAGTAGGGGGTGTGCAGGAGGCAGCCAATCAGTGATTTTCTCTCATCATTGATGTTTTTATCTCTCTCTCCCTCTCCCTTCCTCTCTGAAATCAATAAAAATATGTTTTTTTTAAAAAAAGGTGCTTATGGTATGAGAATATATTAAGTGATGAAAACATAAAAGTTTATATATGTACTATGATTCTAACAATTAAAAATACATTGGAAACAGAGTCTAGGAGGAAATAACATAAAAAGCTGTTTAGGGGGTACTTTTATATTTTCCCCCCTCTTTCAGTTTCCAAACTCTCTTTTGGTGTTCTGGTTTTAAAAGTATATAAAAATTACTTTGATAAAAAAAAATACATGTATATAAATAATCTTTCAAGGGACCTCTTTATCGACAATAAGCATAACAGGTTTTAAAGAGCATTACTTCCTCAAGCAAATATTAACTTCATAAATTTTATTAGAACACATACACAAGCTAGAGGTATTTAAAAAAGTAAACAGGAGTACATAATGTTATAATGTTATTTAATTATATGTCCAAGTTTATATCCCATGGATCAATGGTTTTCAAATCTTTCCATGACCTCAAGGATTCTGGGAGGCACCTTTGGGAAACAGGAAATGTGGTCAGGAAGACCCGTTCTCCCACCTCGGGGCTTGTCCTGACAGTGCCCCAGGGGTAGGGCCTGGAGGGCATGAAATGCAATTCAATAGTGTCCCATGACCTCAGAAATTTTGAAAACCACTGTAACACGCCTGTTATTTCACATGACCACAAATGTATCTTATTAGTTTTAATGACAAACTCACTTGAGTTCTGGAAAGTTTTCAGATGATATCAAGCTCTGTAAGGCATGATTTCCTGTTAATTTTAAGTGAGTTAAACCATGTAACCCAGTTACAGGAAAAGACGACAGGCGGTTGGACGATAGGTCCCTGCAAAACATCAAACAACAATGGGCTTTTAGTCCGTGTTAGCATAAAACGTTTTACGTCAAAAAGCAACCTAAGGATTATTACACTGTTCCATAAAAACTTCTAAGAAGGGTTCTCACTTGTAATGGTAAAATTAACCATTTTGGTTACTTTTTACAGTCAGAGTTGCAGGGGGGAATGTTTTAATCACATCCAAATTGGAATTTCTATATTCAGCTGAGGTTTGCTAAAGAGGGGGATATACCAAATGAAGTGGCAGGTGCTGCATCTAATTTGAAAAGTGATGCTGACTGGATTAAGTTAGGGATGAGGGGGACAATGTTGTTGGGTATGTATTTTCCTCCTTCTCTTAACTTCTGTCTGACCAATTCCTTCTTTCTCTATTAGAGAAGGGAGGCGGAGGGAGGAAAGAGCAAGAGGCGGAAAGGGGGGCGGGAGGGAGAAAAAGAGACAAAGGTTTTTTATTAGTCAAGATGGCCAACTATAAAGCCAAAGCCCTTTAGAACTGAGTTGATAGCTATTCCATTCCTCCTGATCACTCAGCAAAAATGGAAAATTTCACCTCAGTAATGAGAACAGCTGTCACCCAGATCTTCAGTTCTGCACATAATGGCCCACATGGCCTTGGGGGTGGGGGAGGGGTAGGGGGCTCCTCTCTGGTCCGATACAGCTCTAGTGTGGGAAACACTGAGGGTGGGCAATCTGTGCACTGCAGGGTTAGACGGCCCCTGATTATGAAGAGACCAGCCATAAACAAGTAATAAAATACTCACAGCTTTCTTAGAGATGGCAAAGTAGAAAATGCACTGGGGTGAATAATGGCAATTTTGTTCCAAGCTAAATTCCTATTTAAAAGAAAAAGTGAGAGGATTACATAAAAAAAAAAAAAAAGAGATGACCTTGTGAAGTTTTACCATGTATACTTATTCTAACAAAAATTAATTTTCATTCAGGACAGGAATAATTAACTTATAAAATCATCCTTCAGATAAAGATATTAATAGTATAAAATGATTAAAGAGAGAACTTTAAAGCAACCTTGTTTAAATTAATCAAGAAAAATTATTCAGGTGGATATTTCAGTTTTCACTCTCTTCTTGCAAAAAAGTTGACTTTAACATGGTTGCGAATTTTATTAGGGCATTTCTAAGATTAGTAGGGGTAGGAGAGTGGGAAGACACAAAGGTACTTCTTTTGACAAGCAGGTACATTTTAAGTTAAAAAATGCCCCTGGGTATGTAATGAAATTCAACGGAATTTGTCTACATTGCCCATGTATTCCAGGCCTTATGAGAAACAGAGATTCTTTCAGAAAAATTCCCAGTAAAGGAGACAGACATTTAAATTCTTAGCTGGGGAATGAATAAAAGAGGGCCTGCATATGCTGGAAGTAAAACCCTTTGATAACAAAGAAAATCTACAATTTATAGAGAAATAAAATTCCCTCACTCCTCCCCTCCACAGACATATGTGTGTGTGTGTGTGTGTGTGTGTGTGTGTGTGTGTATAATTTCACAGGAATAAGAACGCCCACATTTAAAAAGAGGAGCAATGAACCTGAATTTTGTATTTTTTAAAATGCCTAACTAAAAAGGTAACAAAAGTGTAGACATTTGAATAAATTGAAAGTTATCAGAGATCCAAGATGGCACCTCCTCCCAGGACCAAACTGAAATTACAACTAAATGACAGAACAATCAACCTGAATAACCAACTGAAGACTAGCTGAACAGACGTCTGATCCCAGGACCAAACTGAAATTACAACTAAATTATAGAACAATCAACCTGAATAACCAACTGAAGTCTAGCTGAACAGACGTCTGATAACCAAGGATTTACAGAAGAATCCACATTGAGACCGGTAGGGAGGAGGGAGACATGAAAAGGGCTGGCCCCACTGCCACTGGTGGCGGCTGTCTCCCCAGCCTGGAGCACCAGAGCTGGAAAGAGGAGCCTATATACTATGTGGCTGTGAAAATCTGGAAGAGACAAGAATCTGCTAGAAAACCAGGGGCCCTCCTAAAGGACCAGTGCACAAAACCTCATTTGTAGCCACTCACCATGGGCTCTGGCAGAGGGAAGGCGACTCAGAAGGTTTGTAGCTTCAGGAAGAAGGCTAAAGGCACAGCTGCTCTGGTCCCTTTAGTTGAGTCCTCATCCTCACCACACACTGACACCATCTTTCCTGGGTGGAGCACTCCTCTCCATACAGCATCAGCCTAAGCCTTAGGGAATGCACTAAGGGAATGCCCTAACCCCACCCTCCTGACTCCCTGTGACCTTGCAGTTCCAAGCTCTCTCCCTGAGAAGGAGTCTGCTGGCTGCTGCCAGCCTGGACTCATGGTGCAGACTTTCTTGGAGGTCTCTTAGGAGGTCTGGTGGACTCAGGGTGTCAGAGACAAACAGGAAAAGACTAAGTTTGTGACTCTAGGGCAGTGATGGCGAACCTGTGACACGCGTGTCAGAAGTTACACGCAAACTCATTTTTTTGGTTGATTTTTCTTTGTTAAATGGCATTTAAATATATAAAATAAATATCAAAAATATAAGTCTTTGTTTTACTATGGTTGCAAATATCAAAAAATTTCTATATGTGACACAGCACCAGAGTTAAGTTAGGGTTTTTCAAAATGCTGACACGCCGAGCTCAAAAGGTTCGCCATCACTGCTCTAGGTTGAGGATCATTTTCCCCCCATGGGAGATCCACTAGCCTCATCCTTCCAGCTCACTGTGGGCCTGGGCTGTGGAGGAGTCAGCTGGATGACGCCATCCTGGGCCCATGGTGCAGCCTTTTTTTAGAAGGCTCTTGAGGAAGTCAGGGCAGGTTCAGGGGTGGCAGAGACAAGGGTCATTTTTCTCTTGCGCACTGGCACCACCATTTCTGTGCAGAGACCTCCCTTGACACGACCAAATATTGGTCTGTTTTAACCTAATGATCCTGCTGGCCTCACCCTGACAACTCCCTGAGACCCTACCCTACCACAAAGGTCTGAAAACCCCTGGTGGGTGGCAGCTAGACTTGGCATACTTTGAAACTTTTTCTGAGTGGCCTCAGACCCAGCACTGGTGCCAAGTTTGAATCTGCATCAACTTGGTGAATACCACTCGCTCCTACCTGGTGACTCACTGAGAACCCACCTCATGCAACTCACATACTGCCAGAGGCCCTTTCAGTAATTAAACCTAATAGATGGAGACAGATTTTAGGGTTTCGTGGGCCTTTTGATGACCTGCCCCTGGCTTGGTGCTGCTAGAAACTGGCCTTGGTGTGTACCTTGGCCCCTCCCATTTGTACCCAAGCCCAGTAGAGGCAGCCACTAACAGTGGGTCACTCTGTAGCTCCAAATAGGTAGCTCAGGGCTCTTTACAAGCAGCACCTGACATTGACCTACACCAGCATCCTTCGTAAGAGGCCCTAGAACCAATACACCTAGTGGTGGGCTTCAGACCACATCAGAGCATGACCCGATTAGCTTCACAAGTGGCACACCCACAGCGAGATCTTGGCAGGCACAAGACCCTGATGGAGCAAATTCTACTTCCTGGGATCAATCCTCATAGTCAGCCAGCCTGAGGGTTGGCCCCATTCTTGAATGGCGCAAAAACAATGAAGACTTAAGTACAATAAACTTAAACAAAGAGACAGTAAGCATTAAAAGGGACAAGAAACCATAAAATAGAAGCAGTCAGAAATGAAGAATAAAATATCTGAAATGAAGAATACAATAGAAAGGATTAATAGTAGGTTAGATGAATCAGAGGATCAAATCAGTGATTTGGAAGACAAGGTAGCAGAAAATAATCAGAGCAGCAAAAAGGAAAAGGAATTTTAAAAAAATGGGGATCATTTTTGCCTCTGCCTGCCAGCCTGATGCCCTTAACCACTCCCCTGCCTGCCTGATTGCCCCTAACCACCTTTGCCTCACCCCCACCACCCCCTCCACCAGAAGGTTGTTTGGCTGTCCAGTCTAATTAGCATATTATGCTTTTATTAGTATAGATTGGAGGAGAAATAAAGAGCTTCCCAGAAAGTAAAACACTAAAGGACTTCATTACCATCAAACCAGTATATACAAAATGTTAGAGACTGCTTTAACAGAAAGAAAAAAGAGAAACATAATTATAAAGAATAAAATGATAATAAGAATGCATTTATTAATAATCACTTTAGCCGAAACCGGTTTGGCTCAGTGGATAGAGCGTCGGCCTGCGGACTGAAAGGTCCCAGGTTCGATTCCGGTCAAGGGCATGTACCTTGGTTGCGGGCACATTCCCAGTGGGAGATGTGCAGGAGGCAGCTGATCGATGTTTCTCGCTCATCGATGTTTCTAACTCTCTATCTCTCTCCCTTCCTCTCTGTAAAAAATCAATAAAATATATTTTAAAAAAATAATCACTTTAAATGTGAAGGATTAAATGTTCCATTAAAAAGACACAGAGTAACTGAATGGATGAGAAAACAAGACCCATATGTATGCTGTCTACAAAAGACCCATCTCAGAAAAAAGACACAGATGGAAGGTAAAGAGATGGAAATTTCATGCATCGGAAATGAAAAGAAAAGCTGGGATAGCAATACTTATATAAGACACAATAAACTTTAAAACAAAGACTGTAAGAGACAAAGACAGACATTTTTAAGTGATAAAGGCATCAATTCAATAAAAGGATATAACCCAGCAGTTCTCAACCTGTGGGTCTCGACCCCTTTGGGGGTCGAACGACCCTTTCACAGGGGTAGCCTAAGACCATCGGAAAACACATATATAATTACATCTTGTTTTTGTGATTAATCACTATGCTTTAATTATGTTCCATTTGTAACAATGAAATTGGGGGTCACCACAACATGAGGAACTGTATTAAAGGGTTGTGGCATTAGGAAGGTTGAGAACCACTGATATAACCCTTGTAAACATTTACACACCCAACATAGATGTACCTAAATATATAAAGCAAAACTTGATGAACATAAAGGGAGAGATCGACAGTAATACAGTCATAATAGAGGATTTTAACACCTTGTTGACATCAACGCATAGAGCATTCTCAGCCTTTTAACTAGTTGTCTTAAGAGATGCCTATCACTTCATGCTGGCTTGAAAGATGGAATGCAAAATCCCTGGGGATAGATTTATATATTCCTGCCCCTCTGACTCATCCCCTTGACAATATAGCATTGAACATTATGACATAATAGAACATAGTTGAACCACTAAATTACTCTGGGCAAGGCATCCTAAATAGGGACTAAGGTACTATCAAGAAAATGTTTGGCATTTCAGAATAAGTGGATTTTTGATTGCAGGGTTTTTCTCTGGCTTTTGACAGAATACCTATGTGTTCTGTTTGATTGGCAAAGAGCCCAAGATCTTGCCTTGAAAGAAAGCAACTCAGAGTATCATCACCATCCCCTACTCAGCCAACATCATATATTTATTGAGAACCACTGAGTGCAAAGCATGTTACACTATACATGCTAAGAAAAGATATCTTCCTCTTCAAGGGAAGGAATAAAGGATGAATCCAAACAAATAGAAATACTCATTTTTTCAGTCACTTATTTGAACACAATGCAAATAGACAGGTGTAGGGTGTATGGAGGGGAATCATTACAAATGGACACATCTTTGCACCAAGGTACTGGTTCTATAAATTGTCTCAGAGTACTCTACATTTTAGAATGGCATTGAAAAAATAAAATAACAGAAAAATGACATTGAAATCCTGCAGGGACTGTAGAAAAGGAAATAGGATACACCATTTGTTTAGAAGAGCATCTCAATTTGATGCTGATGAGGCAGCATCTATGTTCATGCCTAACCTGCTCATCTATTGACTA